CCAGGGCACTGCCCTGTTTGAGGCAACACAGGCTTTCACTGAAGCTCAGGAAGAGTGTGGGGAAGTCAAAGACTCTTTAGAGCATGTGAAGGAAATGGTCAGAGGCCTCTGGGAGGAATTTGGGGGTCATCTGGGTATGAAAGGAGATGTGAGATGAGCTCTTTCCTAGACTTAGACCCATTACAGCTGAATCACAGCAAAGAGGTTTTTTTATGATGTTTGGTTTTCAGATATGCCAAGAAGATTTAAAAAGAACTGATTGCAAAAGCCATGGGCATTTTAAAGTAACATATGATGGGGATTTCTTGAAGATGCTGTAATACAGCCTACTGTAGCAGCATCTGCTTCCCAGATTAACAGAGGGTTTGCAAACAGCACTTGGGAAGCAACCTCCAAGATTATTTCAAAACTGCTGAACAGATTTGGTGAATGATTTATGATATAGATTTGCATATCAGTTGTTCTTTCTCCTTTCTTTGTCAAATTTATTTGTTTCAGTCCTATTTTGCAGAAGGCACACAAGCACTGGAACCATCCTGGATGTGCCAAGATTGTGCTGCTCAGCACAGCAGGGGCCTGAGAGTGCAGAGCTGCAGGGCATCCCCATCCTATGCAAATGATTTTATTTTGGAGCTGTTAAATCCTAGACCAGGAGCTGGAGGTAGGCTGTAGTGGCAGACAAAAATACCAGCTTGATGCCCAATCTCCTTTTAGAGTCAGTGGGTGTTTGGCCAGTGGAGCATGGAGGGTGTTTCACACCCCAGAAGAGATGCTGAAGTTTGAGTAACTAAATGGCTCACCAAACACCCCAAATCTCTCCAACTGCAGTCCATGGCTGCTGGGGCAGCCACCACATGTGTAGTCCCAATTCAGCTGCTGGCCATAGGTGTCCATTTTTACCCTAGGACATGTTGCTTAGTCTCCATCTGTCAGTCAGGAGGGATGCAGGTCCAGGGTTTTGTCTGGCAAAGCCAGGCAGGGGTTTGGGATAGCTTAGGGAGTCCAGTGTAGCAGTGAGGACCTGGATGAAGGTGACTAAAGCCAGGATCTGCATGGGCTCCCCCGCTGAGATGCCTTAATTGGAGCTGAGTCCTACTTGCTATGCCTGGTGGGACTGGTGCAGGTTTATCAGGCTGTCCTGGGGGGGTCACCCCCTGGCCTGGACAAAGGGGAGGGCATGTTCTGGCTGTCAGCCCAGGGCAGTCCTGTGCTTCAGGTCAGCTAAATTCCAGCTGCTGGGTGGTCAGGGCTAAAGCATGGATGGCAGCCTTGGAAGTCCACTGGAAATATGGGGGTGCTTGTTCTGTTGAGGGTGTGGCTACTCCCAGTGTAGGCACTCTGGAGAAATTTGTGGTGTCCTCAGCATGGACATGGACCTGATGCTCCGAGGGCTGGAGCTGCTCTGCGTGAACCAGGCTGGGAGAGGTGGGGGTGCTCACCTGGAGAAGACTCCAGGGAGAGCTCAGAGCCCCTGCCAGGGCCTAAAGAAGGCTTAGAAGAAAGATGGGGACAAAATTAACAGGGTGTATTGCAACAGGACAAAGGGTGATGGTTTTAAACCAAAGGGGAACCAACTGTTAGGAAGAAGTTCTTTACAGTGAGTATGGGAGAACACTGGCACATGTTGCCCAGAGAAGCTGTGGATGCCCCAGTCCTGGAAACATTTAAGGTCAGGCTGGACAGGGTTGTGAGCCACGTGATCTAGGTGAAGATTTCGCTATTCATGGCAGGGGGGCTGAACAAAATGGAACTAGGCCTGTAAAGGTCCCTCCCAACCCAAACTGCCCTGTGATTCTGTGATAAACGCTCTTTCTTCATGTGGGCTTGACCTCAAGGGCAGGACAAGCATTCCACATCACCAGTTTACTTGGGAATCATCTTTCCCAGCCAGGTGATGGGGAGGTCAGTGGCTGAGGAGAGGCAGAAGCTTCCACTGCTGGCAACACGTGGTGAGAGGAGCAGCCCCACGAGTGAGCCACATCAGCACGTCAGTGATGTGTTCAGGGAGGTTAATTAGAAACCTGAATGTCATCTGCAGGAGGGTGTGTTCGAGGCATTCTGCAAACCACCCCAAGAAGCTAAAAGGGACCTTGTGGCTGAAGGGGAAGCCACAGGCAAGCCTGGTTGTTTCGTAGTTTCTCATCGCACGTGTGTTTTGGGAACGGGAGAACAAAGCCTGGGCTGTGCTCAGCAATGCCCATCCTATTTTGGAAACTGCTGCAAGAGCACCAGGGCATCTTCTGGTTCAGAGGGTGGATCACGAGTGTGCTTATTCCCAGCCACTCTTCTTGGAGGGTTAATGAAACTGTGATTCAGATGCAGCCTTTTCTTAGCCCAGGAGCTCCCATTTATGGAAGTTCTCATACAATTCTTTTGTGCCTCCAACAGTGATTTGAATGGTTTTAGGTGGAATCGTAGAATTGCAGAATCATTCAAGTTGGAAAAGCTCTCCAAGACCATCGAGTCCAACCCTGCCCCCTGCTCTGCCCAGGCCACCACTGACCCGAGTCCCCTGGTGCCACATGCACATGGCTTTTAAACCCCTCCAGGGGTGGGATCTCCACAACTGCCCTGGGCAGCTGTGCCAGGGCTGGACAACCCATTCAGTGAAGAAATCTCTCCTCATATTCCGTCTCAACCTGCCCTGGCTCACCCTCAGGCCGTTCCCTCCTGTCCTATTGCTTGTGAGAAGACACCAGCCCCACCTGCCTACAACAAGGTGTTGCACTGCCAGCTGAGCTCTCCTTGCTCTGAGGAGCAGCTGCAGTGAAAGACCTGTGGAGAGAAGGAGACTTTATGTAGAAGTTAGAGCTGTAGCCCAACACAAGGGAAACATGGTGCCAACTTCTGCCCTGGTGCCGGGGGGAGGTTGTGCATTGGCCCAAACAGAGCTCATGAGCTCTGCCATGAAGCCAGGATCAATTGCAGGATTTTTGCAGCTTCCCCTGTGAATTTTGCCCTGAACAAAGATGATGGTGTTGGCCCAATGTGGGCATATTGACAGTGGCCTGCATTAAGCTCTTTGCCCCCTTGCTGATCGCTTTTGGCTGTTGAGTGGCAAACAAGCCATTAGTCCTCGACAGTGGTGGCTCCTTGTGGGTTAATGATCTGAACAGGGCCCTGGCTAAGGAAGGAGGTCGTGCTGGAAAGTCACAGCCTGCATGCTCTTGAAGCCACGTGGACTCATTTGCTGCAGGGGAGTCCTGTTCTCAGGGCTGATCATGGCCCTGGGCCTCGTCTGCAGCGACTCCGTTCTGTACCTCACATGTGCTCCATGCATTGCCTACTGCCTGAATGTCCTCAGACTGCCTAAATATCCTCGGGCTGGTGGTTGCAGACACATGAGGAGGAGAATGAGAGGCCATCACAAAGGTTAGCCTTCATGGTTTTGCTCTGTTCCTTGAGTGTATGTGCAGAGCAGTAATTTACCAGTGTAATAGATTGGGTAGGCTGGTCAGAGCCTATTGGTTTCTCCATCCTGGGATAGTCATCCAGGTATCAGCTGGACTTGGAAAATATTGTTGATGCTTTCCCATGACAATAATGAAATGAGAATCTCATAAAGGCTGAATCAAGATTGGTAGCTCTGTCTGAAAGCTGTGAGAGGGATCCCAGTTGCTTCCCTGTGTCATGAGTAATGGGAAATAGTGCTGGCGGAGCCTGCAGTAGTAAAAACATTCAAGGGCTGCCTGGAGAAGAAAAAGAGATGCTTGAGTGATTGATTCAGTCAGGAGCCTCTTGGGGAACCTGGGAAGAGAAGACAGAGTCTCCATCTCCATCTGCCTCATGACAACAAGTGTCTCCTTGCCTTGGTTTCAAGCTTTTCATGTAAAATGGAGACTGTACACATTGAGTGGCTGTTCCTTGCTTTGCACTAAGCCTTGGCAGAGACATCCTGTTCCCCTTGCAGCTTCCATGAGTAGGAGGGAACCTCTTGACCCTGGCCAGGACTCAGGTACAAACACAGGTTCAAGGACAGATGTGAGCTGGTGGTGCCATTTTAAAGAAAATACCCCAGGTTATGGCTTCTTTGGCATGCAGACAATGCATTTCCACCTGACTGCTGAGCCACAGGAGCATTTTCCAGCTGAGCACTACTGCATCATATGTTCCCAGTGTTGTAATAGCCACACTGGTCGTCCTCTCCGTCCTCACCCAGGAGAAGGCCTGGGGTAGCCCCCCAAATTGTCCTAGGGGACCCTGTTGATGTGGTGGCTGTCTGCTGGTGGGGATCTCGCACCTTGAGGTTGTTCTGAAGTGGAGTAAAGCACCCCAAAACATTCTTCTGCCCATCTCCTTCATCAGCCCTGAGTCCTGCCCACCCACATGGAGGTCTCAGCTTCTGGAAATGCCAGCCCCCTGTCTCCATCATTTAGAAGTGCGAGTGGTGGCCAGGAGCTTCTGTGGAGCTCCATTTCTCCAACAGGTTTTCCCAGGCTGAGAAGGGCAGGGAACTTTGATGGGCAGAGTTGGGAGGATGCTGGTCGTACACCTTCCATCTCTGCACCCCAGCACTTGTGGAATGTGGATTTGTTATGGGTTTGTACTGGATTTGTACTGCAGGTACTACTGAGCTGCCACTGGTACCTGAACTGTGGGTGTAGGAAGCCCCGGGAAGCTGATCATCCCAAGGGGCCAAAGTGTAATGTTTATCTGGGGTGGGATGGGCGAAGAAGCCCAAAGCTGCTCCGGTGTGATCTGTTCCCGGGGTGTTCATCTCCCAGCTGTCACTGGAGATGTGATACAGTGGGAGGATGGGGTGGGCTTGCACCTCCGTGGCACGGTGTTGCTAGGTGATGTTGTGATACAGGGAAGGGTGATGAGCAGAGGAACTGACCGTGGGAGCACGTGTGGTGGGAGAGCAGGAGCAGGCCTGGCTCTGTGTTTTCTCATCGTCCCGGCAGAGACTTCTCCAGAGGTGACCTTTCTGAACCACATAATCAGTCCTGGATCTGATGAGGGGTTATGTTTTGTGTTTTTTGCTCTCTGTTTTTTCTTAGGAGATGGTCAGAGGAGCGAAAGGACCATCACCATTTTGAAACAAAACCAAGGGTACTGGTGAGTACACACAGGGTGAGCTTTGTGGGGAGAGCTGGCAAACAGGATGCAGACTGGGGAGAATGATGTGGTTGTCCTGATACCTTTCTGGGGTCTTGGGGTTCTGATCTGCCCTTCAGTTACTGAGATTTCCTGTGGGAGGGGAGGTAGTTTGCTGTGTTAATGGATCAGCACAAATCATCTTTACCACCACCACCACCATGGTTCTCTGCTGTCATCAACGACCAAACCTCTAATTGCTTTTCCTGTAAATCCGTGGAAGATGCTCTCATCAATATGTGTGTTCTCAGTGCTGAGTGCTGGAAGGAGCAGGCGGCAGATACACTGGCAGCTGCACAGGAGTGCACCAAGCAACAATATTTGTTAATGCTTGGAGTGCTTTTGGCTGTTGTTGTGCTTGGCCCCATCCAGACCCAGTCATGGGGCTGTGATCTGGGTGGCATTTCAAGGTCCTCTCCAGACCTGTTTTCTGCAGCTGTCACACAGGAGGCTGTGACTTGGATGTTTGCCTAGAGGTCTTGAACAGCAAGAAAGGAGAATCCTTTTTTATCATCTGAGCTGGTTCAGATATGCCAGAGCCAGACCCTGAGCTGATGTTTTTGAACTGAGATATTTCGCTTTGTGTCAGTTGGGAGGCTGGGGTTTTTATCACGGTCTTGTTGTGAGCAACTTCCTAGTTTACACTGGCCAAACCCTCAGCAGAGCCATGCTGTGAGCCCCCACAGGTTCCCATCCCTCAAGGACCAAATTACTCCTGTGCAAATTTCCTCTGTGATTATGTGACGGATGGTGAGGAGCATCTCGTTGCTGGGCTATCACAGAATTGTAGAACCGTGGTTTGGGTTGGAAGGAGCCTTTAAAGCTCATTTCATTCCAACCCCCTGCTGTGGGCAGGGACACCTTCCACTATCCCAGGTTGCTCCAAGCCCCATCCAGCCTGGCCTTGGACACTGCAGGGATCCAGGGGCAGCCCCAGCTGCTCTGGGCACCCTGTGCCAGGGCCTGCCCACCCTCATCAAAGAATTTCTTTCTTACATCTATTCTTGCATCTCTGCTCTAGCCTGGACTACAGGAGCAGTGCTAGTGGAAGTTGGATCATGGAGAGGTGCAGATTTTTAAGACACATCTCAGCTCCTATAGTACAGTTGGAGTGTAGATGAAGGGAGAAATTTACACACTGTGGTTTCAGGAAGCAATCTTCAGACATTTAAAAATTCAGGGGCCCTTTATAGTTAGTGGAAAAATTTTTATCCCACTACATGTGATCTAGTTCGGGCAGCATGTGAGGATGAACAGAAGTCTGTCCCTCTTCTTTGGCTGGAAGAGCAGCCCAGGTGAGGGCATGGTGTATCTGCAGGGTCACCTCCTGACAAGGCAGCCTGGGGGGGTGCTGAGACCCTGCTTTCCCCCAACACCAACAGCAGAAGAGCTTGAGAAGGGCTGCTTTGTTCACAGGAATCATCCCTGACTCCAAAACAGGTTCTAATCAGTGCCTGCAGCGCAGAATAAACTCCTTTCTGTCTCCCACACCTCCTAGAGCTTCCCTTCTGCCTCTGCAATCAGCTATAAAATACACCCAGACTGTTCTTGAGAAGAGCAACCCATTCTCCTGTAAACAGGGCAGCCAGCAAGGCTACTGGCTGCAGATATGGGTGCTGTTTCCCGGTGGTGGTGAACGTGCTTCCCCAGCCCAGGGGCCTCTTGCACTCATCTGCTCCCAAATTCCAGCTGTGTTTCCCCTCCATGCCCCCCAGTCTCCTGGCAGAGATGGTGATGACTGGGAGGGCTAGTGTGTATCTGAAGCATCAGGTATTTCATCATGCTGGCTATCCAGACTTACATCAGTGGGGGTTTGGCCCCTTGAGCTCCAACAATCCTGAAGTGATCCAGCTTATTAAACATCTGTTTGCACTCTCTTTAGCATTAAATAATTGGTTCCTCAGCATATTTGAGTTGGAGGGTATCTGATAATCCTGTGAACTATCCATCAGGCTCCATTATCATCTCTGCACTCCTGTGCCAGCTGCCTTGTGTCAATTCTGCCTGGGGTTTACAAACAGATTTCGTTTCTCCTGCAGTTTTGCTTCTTTTCTTCTGTCTCCCTTTCTCAAAGGAGCTGTTTCAGGCTCCTTAAAAATTTGTGCAGACACCCCCATCAGCATCTTTCTGCTACTGGTGAGTGATGGGTCCCATCCTTATGCTGCCTCTGCTCCTGATGGGGTCCCCAAGCAAAAACTCTTCATTTACCTCAAAATGAATAAAACTGTTGTCTCGACTGAAAGGATTTCCACCTGCAAACAGATAAATCTTTGCATTGTTTGAGTTTTCTTATCAGCTCAGAGGATTTGTAGCATGCACAATGGTGACTTGTCAGCTGCCCTCTGGCAGACCAGCAATGCACCACTCACACTTGGGGCACAAACCATGTATGTCCTGATGGTAATTTAGTAAGGATGCTTCAGAGGGCTCCTAAAAAGCCTCCTAAAAAGCCTCCTATAATAATATGGGTAATATGAGAGCTGAGGAAAGAATAGAATAAAAATAGAATAGAATAGAATAGAATAGAATAGAATAGAATAGAATAGAATACAATACAATACAATACAATACAATACAATACAATAGTATGAGTTGGATGAGACCTTTAAGAGACATCTTGTCCAACCCCCCTGCAATTAGCAGGGGCATCTTCAACTAGACTAGGTAACTCAAAGTCCTGTCCAGTCTTTGTTATATTATTTTTTGTACCTTTTGCTGCTACTGCCATGCCAGCTGTGAGAGAGATGTTCAGCATCCTTCAAAAATTAGGCTTGTGCTCATCTCTCCAGGTCTGCAGCATCCTGGAGGAGGTGGATGGGTTTGGAGATTACATCCTTGTGTGTCTGATTTGCTTTTAGAGCTAATCGTAGAATCACACACACCAGGGCCAGGGCCTGCAGGTGCATGTATTCCCATTTCACAGGAGGTGCTGCTGGATGTTTTGCCAGTATCAGGAAAGGCGTAGCTGGGTTTTACTCATGCAAGGTGAACTTATTCCTTTTTATATAGCTTAAGAAATGTTTTTTCCTGGAGAAATGTTTGGATTATCAAGGCTGGTCTCAGGCTGATAGGATGGTGTTGCAGGTCATGCCAGGGTGCAGCACTGGGGCAGGCAAGAGGAATCAGAAAAACAGGACCTGTCTCTTTTGCAAACATCTTCCCATATAGTCTGAACACTTGTTTTCTGACTTGTTCTAGAGACGTCTTTTGCTCCTACGGTAAAAAACATGCAAGGCAAATTCCATCAGCTTCAGCCCATGCAGGAACTCTCCAGCTTGTACATGAATTTTTACCCTTGCATTTCCAGATTGCCCTTTAAATTTTTTTTCCTAGTTCTAACTTGTAAAGAGGAGATTGATCAGAGGAGATTAATATCCTAAAATAGCTACCTGGTACTTATATAAAAATATGTCGGTGTGATTGTCTAAAGGACAAAACCATGATATTTTGTACTGAAATATGTTTGCTTTTGCAATAATAAGTTTCACTTTGCATCCCTGCCCTGGATCCAGTATATTGTTGGACAGGAGCCATGTCTTAAATGAGCTTTCAGTATAAAGAAGAAAAAAAACAGGGCGAAAAAAACCTATGAACAGGGTAATTTATTATGGAACAGGGTAAATTATTGTGGAACAAGAGGTATCAATTCTGGTCAACACATGGAGGAGACTGATGCTGGAGGGTGTAAAGTGATCCAGCAGAGTCCACATACCTTCAGCAGAGGCAGAGACCTGCTTTTCTAAGACATTTGCAGTGTTTTAAAGCCTACAAATTCTGCTTGTCCAGAAGACGTGACAGCGCTCTGGTGTCACCATAAGACAAAAACCTCCCTGATTCCGGTGCCTGTGCCCTAATGTCATTACTTTCCTTCTTTTGCAGATCCGCATAATGACATTCATGGTCACACACGCACACAAAAATACTTTATATAAAGAAAATGAATCTGGCTTCAGCCGGCTCTCGCCTTCTGCTGCGCTTACCTCCAGACCCCAGCTCGCCCAGGGTGAAATGAAAAGGGGAGTTAATGTGGCGGGGTCATTTCTCACTGCTGAATTGGTCAGCCGTCTACGGAGCCAATTTCTGCAGCTTTTCAGTGGCGTGGCAGACCCCTGGGTAATATTTGCCTGAATAGAGCCCTAAGTGTTTAAGCTGTATTGCTAGGAATGGCTGTTTTATCCTATGCATCTGAGATTTCAACTCATCAGACATGAAGCAGGTCAGGACTCTCATGCCATTGTGTGCATTACAGCGAACAGAACAGAATATGCTTGATAAAAGGGAGGACTTAAAAGAAATGCTTCTTTAGACCTGAAACTTTCAAGTCCCACAATGCATCAAAGACCCCTCGTATAGACTTTGAAAGGGGTGAAAGGCATTACCTAATATTTGGAGGAAATGAATAATAAAGCATCCCAAGTGCCTGGAAACTAATTTAGGAGTGCACGCTGCACTGTATTGCCTCTGCTGGATTTGCTCCCCAGAAGAGTCTCTAACAAAAGGTTTAAAAAATAAAATAAAATTACGTTTGGCGACCAACTTTTCTGCCTTGAAATGCCCCCTTTTTTGTAATGTTTCCTGGTAAGAGTTACTTATGAAAAGATGAAATACAGCCTGTGCTGCAAACACCAGGTCTCAAATGAATCTCGGGAGCCCGCAAGGTTTCCCACCATTCTCCTCCCCACCACAGCCTTTTGTTCCTTCATGTTGAAAGCATTGCTTGCAGGATGCTTGCAGGATGCCCAGGCACTACCTGCTTGTGGAGTTTAGTCATATCATAGGAAAAAGAGAAAAAAAAAAAAAAAAATCAACCTATTTCTGTGGCCTTTGCTTTTGTTCCAGCAAAAATACCTTTGTGTAAAGCCGAGGCTGCTCTGCTGGTGACCTGTGGCTCCTTGCAGCTGGAACTGAGAGCTGGGCACCCTGCTGAAGGTACCAGTTGTGTTTCTGACATCCCTACAGGT